CAAAAAACCAAAATAAACTAGATTCAACGTAGAAGAGATTCTTATAAAGAATTCCTAGAAAAGATTTCGGAGAATAGGAGTAAGGGGCCGCTCAACGGTCGGACTCAAATCTGATTTTTCAGAAAAAATACTAAGCAAACATGTCTACTTTCTAATGACATGCGATCACTTCCAAATCAATCATAACTCCCCAATCCATGAACCAAAGTTTTAGCTACATGACATGGTTCTCTCTATTTCCTTTCCCAGTTCCCTTCTCCACAACTTTAATCGCAACAGGACAAAACATCAGTAACTTCATGCATCTTCCGCTGTTTTATGCGAAGATCTAGGTTATATAAAGTACTTAATAAAAACAAACCAGCATCTCCAACCCTTATCACATGCAATCACAATAAGAATAATCAGCAGCAACAAAGACAATATTAAATACAAAAGTAACAAGAGAATGATGAGCTAATCTTCGGATCCGGATAGACCAAACCAAGAAGCTAACTAGATTTAATTTATAGTTTTATCTTTACTTCACATGCATCAAGATAAGGTAATACTGGCAAAGGGAAACGGTTCACAACCTTAAACAACACAAATTAATAGTTAGATTTCTAATTACCTTAATCCTTGTCCCTCCCCATCTTCTCTTTTCCCGCTGCCCTCCTAAAGCCCGTTAAATAGATTTAGCTTCCATTCCTATGATTTTAATTGATTTATTGATTAGGAGGAATTGAAGAGGTGGGAAGTGAAGCTGATGTATGAGAGAAGGGGGGAAACGAGAGAGTGAGAGAGAGTTGGCTGGTGGGGTGGAAAGTGAAAAGGTGGGAATGGTAAAAAAGAACCTTGGTTCTGGAAATAATTAGAAGTAAGGAAAATATTTTTAAAATGATTAGGTCCTATCTTTTCACGTGAGCTGGTTTAGGAGAATACTAATTCAGTTTTGCAATTCTGAGAATTTTTTTGGGTTGCCTTAAGGAGAAGAAATATAAAAACGGCGGAGTTCCTAATCTATCTGGCTTTATTAAGAAACAGAAAGAAAACAGAAAGGCTAAACATTAATTAATTAAAATAAATAAATTAACGATTTCGGTCAAGATATGAATTTAATTAATCTTTTGTTTTTCAATTCTAAATTCCTTATTGTAAGTGTTGATCAACACAAACACTTAAAATTTCGGTGTCATCATATAGTCAAAGTTGGATCATTCATTTATCCAGCTGACTTTGTAATCTTGAATATGAAGGAAGATAAGGATGTCCTTATCATTTTGAACACACATTTCCTAGCAACATGTGATGCTATCATAGAAGTGTGAAAAGGGACTGTGACTTTGTAGTTTGATATAGAACAGGTGACATTCAACATCTTCAATAGCATGAAATTCCCTGCAAAGATGCCGAAGTGTTTCAAGATCGATGTTGTGGAGGAGACTATCGAGCAAGTCTCTGTTGAGGTAATAGAGTCTGATGAATTGCTTAAAATACTAACTGATGTTAAATTGGATACAGGACATACAAATGAGGACTCAGCCATGACATGGCTAAGTTACTTAGATCACTCTCCAATGTGGCCACATAGAAGTTAACCAACAGAGCTGTTGGGTCTAGCCAAGGAAGGCAAAACTTACAAACCTTCTTTGGAAGAACCACCAACTCTGGAGTTGAAGCCACTGCCTGCACATCTTAAGTATGTGTACCTGGGAGATAAAGACACTTTTCCTGTGATCATCTCAGCATCACTAACTGAGACAGAGGAAGACAAGCTGATGAGAATTCTAAGGATGCACAAGGAAGCTATTGGTTGGACCATAGCTGATATCAAAGGCATCAGCCTTTCTATCTGCACCCACAAGATCCTGGTTGAAGAGGAAGCAAAACCAAGTATAGAAGGTCAAAGAAGGTTAAATCCAACCATGAAGGAAGTAGTCAAGAAGGAGGTCATCAAGCTATTGGATGTAGGGATCATATACCATATATCCGATAGTACTTGGGTGAGCCCAGTCCAGTTTGTTCCAATTAAAGGGTGGATGACAGTGGTGAAGAATGATCAAGATGAACTCATCCCAACCGGAGTGGTCAATCCTTAGAGAGTTTGCATGGACTACAGGAAGCTCAACAAAGCCACCAGGAAGGATCACTTCCCACTGCTATTCATTGATCAGATGCTGGACAGACTAGCTGGATATAGCTATTATTGTTTCTTGGATGGATATTCAGGATACAATCAAATAGCTGTTGCTGCTGAAGACCAGGAGAAGATCGCATTCACATGTCCTCATGGCACTTTTGCTTTCAGAAGGATGCCATTTGGTTTGTGCAATGTACCAGCAATATTCCAGAGGTGCATGATGGCTATCTTCTCAGACATGGTGGAAGACATTATTGAAATTTTCATAGGTGACTTCTGTGTGTTTGGGAAGACTTATGAGGAATGTTTGGAAAATCTAAGGTGTTACAGAAGTGCATTGAGACCAATCTGGTCTGAACTGGGAAAAATGCTATTTCACGGTGTTAGAGGGCATTGTTCTAGGTCACAGAATTTCTGAGACGAGCATTGAATTGGATAGAGCCAAGATAGAGGTGATAGAGAAACTAAACCCACCAACAATACTTCGTGGAGTGAGAAATTTTCTTGGCCATGTAGGTTTCCACAGGAGATTCATCAAGGACTTCTCAAAAATATCCATGCTCTTGTGCAATCTTCTAGAGAAAGATACTGCATTCATCTTTGATAAGTCCTTTGTAAAGGTATTTGAAGAGCTCAAAGGGAAGCTTATTTCTGCCCCTGGGATAGTCACACCTGATTGGACTCAGCCATTTGAAATAATGACTGATGCCAGTGTCTTTGCAGTGGGAGTTCTACTAGGTCAGAGGAGGAATAGTGTTGCATGTTGTCTACTATGCAAGCAAGACTCTGAATGCAGCCCAGATCAACTATTCAACCACGAAGAAAGAGATGCTTGCTATAGTGTTTGCTTTTGACAAATTCAGATCCTACTTGTTGGGAATGATGTCATAGTGTATATTGATCATGTAGCCATCAAGTATCTAGTTGCAAAGAAAGATTCAAAGCCAAGGTTGATTAGGTGGGTTTTACTGCTGGAAGAATTCGACCTGGAGATCAGAGATAGGAAGGGCATCCAAAATCAAGTAGATCCTGAGCCTATTGCTGAAGCATTTCCTGATGAACGACTTTGGCATGTGACATACTCACTTGGCCGAGTGTCTGAATAGAGGCCATGGTTTGCTGACTATGCTAATTATGCTGTCTCTAGGATTGTTCTTGAAGGACTTAGCTGGCAGTAGAAGAAAAAGTTCATCCATGATGCAAAGCAATACTATTGGGATGAACCCTTCTTATTTAGGAAGTGTGTAGATCAACTGATTAGACGATGTGTACCAGAATCAGAGGCGCCTGCAATTTTGGAGAAGTGCCACAGCTCACCCTATGAAGGACATTATGGAGGTCAGAGAACTGCGGTTACGGTACTACAATCTGGTTCCTTTTTGCTTGCTTTACATAAGGATGCTAGAAACTATGTGCTTAGCTGTGATAGATGCCAGAGAACATGAAATATCTCCTGGAGGAATGAAATGTCACGGGAAATGATCCTGGAAGTAGAACTCTTTGATTATGTTTCTAAGTGGGTAGAATCTTTAGCAGTTCATATTAGTGATGCCAAAACAGTGATGAAGCTCTTGAAAAAGAACGATTTCTCTCGTTTTGATACTCCAAGAGCCATAATTAGTGATGAAGGATCTCATTTCTGCAATAGAGCTTTCACTAATCTGATGGCTAAGTTTGGCATCAACCACAATGTTTTTACGCCTTATCATCCACAATCCAATGGTCAACCAGAGGTGTCCAACAGAGAGATCAAGAGGATATTGAGAAGGTAGTCAGTAGTTCATGGACTGAGTGGTCTGCTAAGCTTGATGATGCTCTCTGGGCATACATGACTGCTTTTATGACTCCAATTGGCATGTCTCCATTCAAATTGGTGTATGGAAAAGTATACCACCTTCCTGTTGAGTTAGAACACAATGCATATTGGGCCTTTAGGGAGTTATATTTGGATCCAAAACTCAACAGGGAGCATAGTCTTCTGCAACTGACTTAATTGGAGGAATTTGGGTAGGTAGCTTATGAGTCTTCCAAAATCTACAAGGAGAAGTCAAAGGGATTCTATGATAAGAAGTTGGTCAAGAAGCAGTTGGAGGTAGGACAGTTGGTTCTACTCTACAACTCTAGGCTAAGGCTCTTCCTGGAAAGCTGAAATCAAGATGGGGAGGCCCTTGTAATATTAGTAAGATTCTGAGCCAAGGGGCAGTGGAGCTGATGAACCTACAGATAGGGAACACATTGTTGGTGAAAGGACAAAGGCTGAAGCCATATATGGGAGTACACTCTGAAGGAGAACATGACAATCATGTTCTGTCACTCGATGATCTTGTCTGATAACTTCAGCACAGTTTGGCATAAGACTATAAACTGTTGCACTACTTGGGAGGCAACCCAAGCACTTTTGTTCTAACCCTATCTCTTGTACTATTTTTGTTTTGCAGGTAATTTTCCAACCCAGATGTGAAGCCAGAATCTACGAGTGTTGATCAGTATCTGGCGAATTTCATAAAGAGGAACAAGGGAAAGCATCATTACTCTGAGATATAGGATAACCACTTCCAGGAGTCAGTTTCTTACTTGCAAAAGTCGTTTTGACTTTTCAAAATGCAAATATGTTAGCCTTTGAATTTGGGAAGCGGTCTTCACTCTAAGTTTTGGGGGAGGAATGATTGCGCTGCAATAAGTATTTTGTCGGCCAGAGGGAATCTTTTGGGTGTATGAAAAGCTCTATTACAGAAGCGAAACCAAACCTCCCCATGCCCCAAGGCCATTCATTACTTCCATCTCTTCTTCTACAAAGCCTGAACTCAATCTTCCTCCACAGCACAACCATCCCCTCTGTTCTTTTTTTTGTAAACAAATCAGTTCCCAACAGTGATCGATGGCACTCAAAGTCAAACAAACTGCGAGAAAAAGAACCCTGCAGATTGAAGGGCTTGGATTTCCATGGGTCCAGCCGGTGTTGCCATTTGTGCCCATCCCAGATTCAGACGATGATGAAGGAAATAGAGCGGAGGTCAAAAGACATCTAAATGAACCAAGGTATTGGAACCTGTTTCTCACAAACAAGGCATGGGAGTTTTACAAGGAGAACAGGAAGCGGAGAGCTATTATTGAAAGGAGACTCCTTAATGAAGGACATCCTTCCACCTACATTGCAGATAAAGGATGGGAAGGGCTATGTAATCCTGACACTCGTCATCGGTTGTTGCCTATTAAGGAGTTCTATGCTAATTTAGCTGGAATTGAAGGTGAGTGATGCTACATCTTCGTTCGAGGGTTTACAGTAGAAGTTAGTGTTGAGGCAATTAGGGAAGTCTTGGGATTACCTGAGGTGCATAATGACTAGCAGACTGCTATTGCCAGTCTGCCTATGAAGGGAGATATATGGGATTACATCAAAAGGGTCCTCTGCAATGAGAATAAGAACGTCAACTGGGCCCTGGATAAGAATGGTGACCCTAAATCCTTCGAGGCAAAGCGTCAAAAAGAGCGACACAGGAGCTGGTTCAACTTTGTGTGCACAAATATCATACCCAGTCGACAATATGTCACTTTTGGTAGGGCATTGCTGGTTTATGCTATTGTTAGGAACGTCACAATAGACGTCGCTCCAATTATCCTACAGCAGATTGAAGCCTGTGTTACCAAGAAGAAACAAAAATTTTGGTTTTTTCCAATTCTGCTAACTATACTGATGGATCGGGCTGAGGTACATTTTTGCCTGAGAGACAAGAAGGTCAAGTTGGCTCTGCCTTGGCATCTAGAACCACCAACACCACTGCCACCACTTGCTGGATTACACTATCCTGAAGTTTAGGAGAGTCACCAGGGGAGTCACTAGTTCTCTTTTTCTCTTTCTTTTTCTTTTTTTTTCATGATTTCAGCTCTGTGTGTCTGTTGTTTCTCTTCATCTCTTCTTCCATTTTCTTTTTACTCAGCATTGAGGGCAATGCTGGATTTTAAGTTTGGGGGAGGGTGTAAAGAGAATCAACCATGTCTAGAAATTAGACTTCTGAGCCACTCTGTGTCTAGGAAAGTAGAAAATGCATGTATAGTAGATAGTTAATCGTCAATGATGAAAACTAACTAAGTCTCAAAACTTTGGCTGGGCACTTGTTTGAAACTGCCTTGAGCACTTTAGAAACTTGCTTTCACTTCCTCATGTCACAAAGTCACTTACCAAAGTGTTGCTCTGGACTTAAAATGCTTAAAATTGAAAAATATCTTGCATTGTTGTGATTTGTACTAGAGCTCACTGGTTTTTTAACCTGGGGGGACTGTAAACTAGGATAGAGCTTAAGGCAAACCATAAGAATTATGGCAGCCTCGATTTGAGCCCATAGTGGTTTGGAATAGCCTAAAATACCTGGGGAAAAGGGAAAGTAGGTGGATTAATCTGAAGTTTCTATTTACCTAATTGAGGGAGTATAGGTAGAATGTCTAATAAGGCATTATAAACCCTTGAGAGGTGAGGCATGGCAACCAAAGAGAGGAGTGTCCTCAGGCCTGGTGAGGTAAAAGATACAAATACTTAGAATGACAAATAGTGTCAAAAAATGTGCTTGGCTAAGGCCTGAGTGGGAAAGATCCAGAAGAAAAGCCAATATGAACAGAAGGAAAGGGGTATGAAGGTGAAAGATGTGGCCAATGTGCCTACAGTAAAGAGAGGAAGCCGTCAGTCTCATACCAGTTGGAATACCCTAGTTGCAGACTTGATGGAAATAGGTAAAGATCCAGGAATGTCCACGGAGCTTAATTGAACTTAACTTAAAAAGCAATACTTTGATCTATGATTGTCATCCATGCGCTTGGGGGAACAAGTTTCTGACTTGCTCAAGTATGTTTTGAACTACAGTGTATGCAACAACCAACATTGAGACTTGTTCCTAAGAGAAAAATTTGACTGTTTCCTTTGCTGCATTTTTGGTTTTTCAGTATCTATAGGGGGGCTAGATGTTTTGTTTGCTTGAGGACAAGCTATTCTTCAAGTTGGGGGGGAACTAATGAGTGCATTTCGTACTATGTTTTTAGGCATACAATTTACCTTTTTATGCTTTAATTATAGGTCAATTAGATAAGGTTTATATAGTTATAGGCTAATTTGGTGACTTGTGGTTGTCTAGGGACCGAAATGTAATACGAACAGAAAATGTGGCAAATTGGTGAAGTTTCTGGTAAAATTTGAAGAAGCTTCAGGGGCCGACATGCAAGGGCTGAAACTTGGTGCTGAAACTGGCGGGAAGAAGACCAAATTGGAGCAAACCTTCGGAGCTAAGGAAGAAGAGCCGTTGGTGAAGTGATGCTACTAACTTTAGTAGAAGATTGATGTGCCTTAAAGCTAAATTCATCAACTAAATATCTCCTAATTCTGATTAGAGATAAGGGAGAAGTTGGGAGAAGTATGGGTCTCCTCTCTGTTGCATAAAACCCATCGGGTAAAGAGGAGACCAGCATGGCTAAGCAAGAGCTCTACCCCAACCACTATAAAAGACAACAGCAACACGAAGACGAAGGCATCGAAGTCCAGAATACAACTTAGAAGTAGATTATAGTGTAGTGTTGTTCGGTAGGAAGAAAACGGAGTATAACTCTGGAAGGTATACTCAGGGGTGTCTCTTGGGGAAAGGAGAAGCTGACCCTGCAAAGTCAGCTACACTTAACCACACTCTCTGACTTTACTCTTCCCATGTTTTCTCTCTTTTCTGTTGTAATCAAGATGAAATCTAAACACCTGAAGTTTGTGGTGTTTGAGATTCACTCCATGAGTAGCTAAACTCATTGCTAGGATCTAATCCCTCTACTTTATATAATTATGTTTCGATTCACACTCTCAAATGATATTTGTATGCTTAGTTGTAGAGTTTGAAATATCCGTTTAGGTTGAACATGCCATTCAAACTAATTGTGTTTGCATGTGGGGAGAATCTCGGAAGGGAAAGCTTCACTTAGAACATCTGAAATTACTCGGTGACGAGGGGGTAATAGCCCAAGGTTTCAAACAACAACTGAAGTTAGTTGTTAGGTACGAGGCAATCGTATGGGCTTAGGATCTTAATGGCATAGTAGTAATTTTGAGACGACAACGGAAGTTAGTTTACTGGTTATTACTAGGACTGCTGTTTGAAACAATCAGAATTGACCTTACGGTGTTTAATTACCTGATTGAATACAGTTTTATACTACATAGAGAGCTAAAAGAATCAATACATATACATATAGAGTAGAGTGGAAGACGACCCTAGGCTGCTATCACTTTGCCAAGTCACTTGTCAATCTGCTATTTTTACTTCTGTTTGTTTTGGTACTAAATCCCAATTTTCATTATGGGTTTCCCGTCTATGTGGGATCGACCCTTCTTATCACTTGTTACAAGTTTTAAGTAGGTTTATTTTGGTAGTCTCGACACCTTTCATCCTCGTGGAATCTAAACATTTTCAGAATGGCATAATCAAATTTAGAAACACATCAAAAAATTATAAGAGCATAGTTTTAGATTTAATTTCTCACTGATACTCTAAGACTGACAACCCTACTGATCAAATAATTATTAGATTTGCAGCACATTTCCTCAAATGTTACTTAATTCAGGTAAGTTGGTTAAACATAAAACAACTTGTATCTTCGATTCTGAGATCTTTGTAAAAATTGCATAGCTGTAACAAAATGGAGCTCACTAATTCTGTATTTAACTTTATTTCATTTGCAAGAATAGTCGTTAGAAAACTTCGACTTCTGCCAAAGAGCGAAGAAACTATTAAGGATTATGGAAATAATTTGAAACCAAGAACGGAACAAAACATCTCAATCTGATGCCAGTTCCTATTTCCTACTCTTTGGTTGTCTAATAGTCTAGGTTTAACTATTCCAAGTAGAGTAGGAAGAGGCTAGGAATTAAGCATCCTAATTAGAATCATGAATTTGAAACCACAAGGAAAAATTACAATTGTAGTAGCCAAATGTATATAATCAAAAGAAAAGCAAAGCAACTGAATAAGCTATTACAGACATACTTAAATATCTTGACTTGTCACCTGTCAAAGTTTGATTGGAAAATAAGTAATAAACAGAGGGAAATATTAAGTTTTAAAGAGGCTTTATATCAGTTGTTTAAAATTAATTTTTGGGAGCACCAGCTATGTTTGAAGGCTATTTTGCAACCTTGTTTGCAACAGCTTCCTGTCTGGCCAACTCTTTCTTTGCAACTCGGAGAGGGAGAGAAGTTCAAGATCCAAATTAGAATCTACACCAAATTCAAAACCAGGTTCCAACAACTGATACAGCTGCCGCAATAGCAGCAAAGTCATTTTTACCCTTCCTGTCTTCAATTAAGATGGGAAAGCTTCAAATGAAGAAAATGATTTACTGATTCATGATTGAATTTAATTTCTAGCATACAAAAATTGGTAGCCCAAGAAACCTTCTAAGGACAGTAGAAAGGATTGGACAAGGAGAAACGGTTAATATTAGACCCTATAAACATAAAAAGGTCTGATGAAGTTATACAACTAATCTAACAACAAATCTTTTAGAAAAATCAACTACCAGCTTTAGGACACTCAAGGTTAATGGCATTTATTGAGTGCAAAAGTATGCAACAAGGATAAGTAGGTTCATTTTGAGAGGAGATGTTCTTGGTTATTTGTCATAGAAATAGTCGACAAACTTCTGCAGTAACTTTTTTTTTTAACTTCTGCAGTAACTATAAGTCTATGCGAGAGGGATAAAGACACAAGTATAGAAGTTAATTCTCCCATTTCAACATTTATAGAATTCACAAGAACAAACACGTGCAAGGAAATCCCTATTGACAAGTTTACGAAAAAGGCAAGTTTAAACCAAAACTAAGGAAACTATCCAGTCAGAGCACCACCAGCGTGTAACTATGTCTGGTCCCCAATATGATCAAAAACTAAATTCAAATTCACACTCATTTACTGGGAAACTGTATCTCAATTCCGATATCTCAATTCTTAGCTCCTATCGAAGAATATCACAGATTCACTCAAAACAACAATCAATGACTCCAAAAAAAAAGAGTGCTTTATGCAAAAACAAAAACACATCACATCCTATTGCAAAAACTCAAATCATCATCACAAGACAAGCAAAATATCTATCTTTGGCAATAGATAGAATGTGTCAAAGTCACCTTGGACTCCCATCTCAAATCCAATTGGCAATGACTGGGTAGCCTTTGGAACTTATGGTATCAGACTTGGTTTTCTTTGTGGCCGCAGCTTAATTTCATCTTTCTGC